ACCTTAAGTGTCTCCAAGACATCATTAAACGGCAGAAATACCTCCACCAATCCTATCAGGAACGAGAAAGAGCTGGGCACTTTTGTATTCTTAGGCTCTGAAATGGCGTCCCATCTTGCCTAATATGGGAAAGAAAACACTAATTTCATGACATGGCACTGACTCTATTAGCTATGTTGTTTCAACTGTAGTGCATTAAATCACTTTCTCTCCTCCTGTCAGAGTATTAAGAATGTATGTGAGCAATATAGAAACTGACTCGCCTTCCTTTTTTCCAGTTTTTGTTCCTGTACCTCTCTCTTGCACTTCTCCTTGAAATCCATCATTAGAATACGCTTCAACACGGAAACCGATTGTATTAGCTTGACAGCAGCTGTAATATAGCCACACGTTAGCGCAAAAGACTGCAGATTCAAATAAATTAAGATCCTTCTTAAGAACAACTCAAATAAAATGTGAAACAGTTATTTACCAGTTGTTGTCATCCATCAGTGAAGAGAGAAGGAAGACCGTCATTACTAAATATGATTTAGTTGCCAGTAAAAAGTATTGCTTTCTCATTTGGGTGCTTTTGAATAGTGATAATGAGGATAATAAGTGTGCAATGATCTTGCTACAATACTTAACAAACAGTAGACAAGTGGAAGTAAGCAATATTTAAAACATGTACAGTATAGAGGGCTCGTAGAAAACCCCAACGCTGTTCATCTTTGTTTTACTTCACGACATGTTACAGTACTTTGAACATGAATGCTAAATGCTCCCCCCCCCCTCCCTTATGGTGTCTGTATGCTGGTGTGTTGAATGTAATCTTACTACAATACTTAACAAACATTTACAATCGATACTATGATAACTTTTCTGTACTGAGTATCTCTGCCTTTTTCTTTCACTTCATTTTCACTTTGTCAATAGTTCTATCCTTTAGTGTTTTAGAGGCGTTCCAGTATTTTCTCTAAATCAATTTTAGAGAGGCATGCAACAGGTTAATTAAACATTAGTTAAGGTTAAAACCTATATATTTAACCAATGCTACAGAAAACATCTGTATCATAATTCTGGACCTGATATTTAATGCAGGACAGGTTATTCCTTTTTCCACCTGACACCCTTTTTAGGTTTGCTGTGACCACCAGGGAGCAGTACTTGATCACTGCTGCCTATCACCTTTTTCTGCAATGTCAAGCGAGTTTATCACAAGAGGTTTATCCTTTAAATAAACTTGTGTGTTTAAGGTTGTGGTTTACCGTTATGGCTTTGCTTATATAGTTATCAAAATCAATAATTTCTTAACATCATGTTAATCTGAAGATGATTGATGGCTACTGCAATATTTGCAAAATTTGCCTCTGAACCTTGACAGGTGCATGTTTCAGGCTTATCAATTAACAACAGGCAGGGTCTATTGGCTATTTGTTGTTTTTTTGCATGCACTCCTTGGTATTTCTACTACGTCATGCTGTCTCTTAAGTTTCCCTTTCAGATAAACAGTATTATGGAGTTTCTCTTTACAGGAACACACCAGCTTTATAACTTGTCTATGAGAATGTGATGACATGCAGGGCAGAAAGTCCTTTGTTTCCACATGACACTCTGTTTTAGTTTTACTTCCACAGGAATCAAGACATGTTGAAGTTTTCTCAGGCAAATCTCCGGATCGGTGTGTAAAGTGAATTTCTCCTGATGAGCAGGTTACACCTTGTGTGGTTGCCTCTGCCACAGGTGTGTCCATGTGTGTGAAACAGTGTATGGCTTCTTGTGTTGTGAAGTGCTTTGAATGTTCACTAAGAAAATAATAAATGCAATCCATTTATCACTCAAGAAGCAAACGTGGATGTTA